TACTAATTTGAGAAAGATGAAACTTTCATTTTGTTGCTGTTTTTTTTATGGAGACAAGAGTCTCCTTCTATCACCCAGGCTGGGGTGCAGTGAAGCAGTCTCGGATCACGGCAACCTCTAACTCCTGGGTTCAAGCTAGTCTCCTGCCTCAGTCTCCTGAATAGCCGGGATTATAGGTACGTGCCACCACACCCATCTAGTGGACACAGGGTTTCACCATGTTGGCCAGGCTGGTTTCAAACTCCTGACCTCAAGTGATCTGCCTGCCTCGGCCTCCCACAGTGCTGGGATTACAGGCATGAGCCACTGAGCCCGGCCAAGTTTTGTTTTGTTTTGAGATGGGGGTCTTGCTCTGTCGCCCAAGTTGGAGCACAGTAGTGTGATCAGGGCTCACTGCAGGCTTGACCTCCTAGGCTCAAGTGATCCTCCTGTTTCTCAGTCTCTCTAGTAGCTGAGGCCACAGGTGTGTATCACCACGCCCAGCTCATTAAAAAAAAATTATTTTTGGAAAGATGGAATCTCCCTATGTTGCCCAGGCTGGTCTAGAACTCCTGGTCTCAAGCAATTGTCCCGCCTCAACCTCCCAAAGTGCTGGATATAAGCCACTGTGCCCTGCCAAAGCTTAAAGTTTTAATTCATTCTACGAACAGTTAAGAATCAGTTGGATATACTACAAGCAGTTTACAGCTAATGACTAATGCATATTTAAAGAGCCCCTTATTTAGAACCTGGGATACAAACTGGTACCACAGTAGCTTTGCTTATTTGAGGTAATGTTTCTAGTACATTTTAAAATTATGACTCATGTTACTGAAAACTTTTTTCAGAAGTAGTCAAGTAAACATTTAATTGGGAAGCAGAGACCACCCTATATAAAGAAAACAAAATTTGGTGCTGCAGAGGCTAAAGCAACTCCATCTTGGATGCTAATCTACCATGTTGACTTCTGATTAACCTGTTCTGGGAAGGCCTCTAAGATTTCCAGTTTATCTTTTGTTTTCTGTGTAACAGCACAGACTTACCGTCAATCTCACCCTTAGGTCAAAACAACCTTCACGTTATCATTCTTCAGTTGTCCTACACATTCCTTCTGAAACATGTACACCCATTCCCTATGGTGTATAAGCCCTGGTTTAGGGGATAATGGGATCCACCCTCTTGTCTTGCTGCTGCCTGAACACAGGCATGGCTTCTGCTCTTAAGTCCCTATTAAATGCTTCTTTCTGAGAAACTGGAGAGGTTGGCCTTCCTCAGCTCTCTCAAGCTTTGGGGGTAGGTTTGCATAGAACTGTCCACCAAAGAACAGTCATTTCCTGTATTATTATACTTTAAAACTTATGATTCTTTCTTACACCACTGTTTGAGCAAAAATTGGTGCAAACTTCTGGAAGGTAATTTGGCCATGTTTATCAAAGACTTAAAACTGTACCTAACACTGTAACTAGTTATATACTACTTCTAGGAATTAATCTTAAGAAAACAATCATGGATGAGCATGAAGATTTAGCAACAAAGATTTTCATTACAGCATTGTTTATAATAGTGAAAAACTGCAAACTCTAAATATCCAACAATAAGGAATGACTGATTGTAAAAATAGAAATATGAAATATTTACAATCATTTAAAGTAAATGCTGCAAAACATAAATGTTCAAACTATCTCCCAAGTGATCAGAATTTAATTTTTGGACACTATTTTAAATTTGTAGTTAAAAAAAAAAAGCACAATGTACATATTAAATTTGTAAATTCATAGACAGAAAGTAGATTACTAGTTGCCATGGGCTGAGGAAGGAGGAAACGGGGAGTGCTAATGGGGTACAGGAGTTTCTTTCTGAGGTGATGACAATGCTCTGCAATTAGAGTAGTAAAGGTTATACAATTTTGTGAATAAACTAAAAACCACTGAATCATACATTTAAAAGGGTGAATTTTACGGCATGCAGATTATTTCTTTAAAATGCACATACTCAAACGCTTTAGAGTTTTAACTTGTTGGGACTCCTACCAAAATATTAACTTATGTTGCCAGATAAATGTGTTTATATGAATCTTAAATTAGGCTGTCCCTTGGCATCTCTCTGCATATATGTGAATGTTTCATATACATGTTACTGATTCACAAAGTTTGGGCTCTGCACTGGCCTTCATCCAAGTTGGAGCATGTGTCAGAAATTCACTCCTTTTCCATGTGGCTATCCAGTTGTTTTAGCACAATTTGTTGAAAAGGCTCTTCTTTCCCCCATTGGATGGCCTTGGTACCCTTGTCAAAAATTAGCTGACCACAGACACAGTAGTTTATTTTTCTACTCTCAATTCTATTCCAATGATCTATGTGTTTAAGCTTATGCCAGTTCCAGTACCCCACTGTCTTGATTACTGCTGCTCTGTACTAAGTTCTGACATCGGGAAGCGTGAGTCCTACTGTGTTCTTTGTTTCTACATTGTTTGTATTATTTTGGGTCCTTTGAAACTCCATATACTTTTTCAAATCACTATGTCAATTTCTACAGCAATCAGCTGCGATTCTGAAAGGGACTATATTGAATCTACAGATCAGTTTGGGGAGTACTGCCATCTCAACGATATTAAGTTTTCCAATCCATGAACATGGGATATTCTTCCATTTATTTAGATCTTTAATTTCTTTCAACATTGTTTTGTAGTTTTCAGATAATATATTTTGTACTCCCTTTGCTAAACTTATTCCTAAGTATTTTGTGCTTTCGTGTGCTATTAAAAATTGAGTTGTTTCCATTTCATTTTCAGGTTGTTCATTTCAAGGGTACAGAAATACAACTGATTTTTGTATGTCAATCTTGCATCCTGCAACTTTGCTAAACTCATTATTAGTGCTAAAAATTCTTTAGTAGATTCCTTAGTATTTTCTATATAGATAATCATGTCATCTATGACTAGTTTTACTTTTTCCTTTCTAATCTGGATTTTTTAATTTCTTTTTCTTGCCTAAGTGACCTGGCTAGAACCTCTAGTTCAATGCTGAATTACAAGCAACACAAGCAGACATCTTTACCTTGTTCCTGGTCTTAAAGGAAAGCAACCAGTCTTTACCATTAAGCACATTTGCTATGGGCTTCTTGTAAGTGCCCTTTATTAGGTTGAGGAAGTTCCCTTCTATTCCTAGTTTTCTGAGTGAGTTTTGTCATAAAATGGTGTTGGATTCTGTTAAATGCTTTTCCTGCATCTACTGAGATGAGAACATGGCTTTTGTTTTTTATTCTACCAACATGGTATATTACATTAATAGCAAAAGTGACCGAACATGGGTAAGTGACAATGATCCTGAGCTGCTGAATTAACCATATCTGGAGCCAACTAACTCTGGATCTTCTAGGTAAATCTTATTGGGTAAAAGAATTTGGAACTTTTTGTTACTTGCCGCTAAAGAA